GTGGTAGTCGCCCTGAAAGCAAATGCGATTACAGTGATATTAGGTGGTAGTCGCCCTGAAAGCAAATGCCATTACAGTGATATTAGGTGGTAGTCGCCCTGAAAGCAAATGCGATTACAGTGATACTAGGTGGTAGTCGCCCTGAGAGCAAATGCCATCACAGTGATATTAGGTGGTAGTCGCCCTGGAAGCAAATGCGATTACAGTGATACTAGGTGGTAGTCGCCCTGAAAGCAAATGCGATTACAGTGATACTAGGTGGTAGTCGCCCTGAGAGCAAATGCGATTACAGTGATATTAGGTGGTAGTCGCCCTGGAAGCAAATGCGATTACAGTGATACTAGGTGGTAGTCGCCCTGAAAGCAAATGCGATTACAGTGATATTAGGTGGTAGTCGCCCTGGAAGCAAATGCGATTACAGTGATACTAGGTGGTAGTCGCCCTGAGAGCAAATGCGATTACAGTGATATTAGGTGGTAGTCGCCCTGAGAGCAAATGCGATTACAGTGATACTAGGTGGTAGTCGCCCTGAGAGCAAATGCGATTACAGTGATACTAGGTGGTAGTCGCCCTGAGAGCAAATGCGATTACAGTGATATTAGGTGGTAGTCGCCCTGAAGCAAATGCGATTACAGTGATACTAGGTGGTAGTCGCCCTGAAAGCAAATGCGATTACAGTGATATTAGGTGGTAGTCGCCCTGAAAGCAAATGCGATTACAGTGATACTAGGTGGTAGTCGCCCTGAAAGCAAATGCGATTACAGTGATATTAGGTGGTAGTCGCCCTGAAAGCAAATGCGATTACAGTGATACTAGGTGGTAGTCGCCCTGAAAGCAAATGCCATTACAGTGATACTAGGTGGTAGTCGCCTTGAAAGCAAATGCGATTACAGTGATATTAGGTGGTAGTCGCCCTGAAAGCAAATGCCATTACAGTGATACTAGGTGGTAGTCGCCCTGAAAGCAAATGCCATTACAGTGATACTAGGTGGTAGTCGCCCTGAAAGCAAATGCCATTACAGTGATATTAGGTGGTAGTCGCCCTGAAAGCAAATGCGATTACAGTGATACTAGGTGGTAGTCGCCCTGAAAGCAAATGCGATTACAGTGATATTAGGTGGTAGTCGCCCTGAAAGCAAATGCCATTACAGTGATACTAGGTGGTAGTCGCCCTGAAAGCAAATGCCATTACAGTGATACTAGGTGGTAGTCGCCTGAAAGCAAATGCGATTACAGTGATATTAGGTGGTAGTCGCCCTGAAAGCAAATGCCATTACAGTGATACTAGGTGGTAGTCGCCCTGAAAGCAAATGCCATTACAGTGATACTAGGTGGTAGTCGCCCTGAAAGCAAATGCCATTACAGTGATACTAGGTGGTAGTCGCCTTGAAAGCAAATGCGATTACAGTGATATTAGGTGGTAGTCGCCCTGAAAGCAAATGCCATTACAGTGATACTAGGTGGTAGTCGCCCTGAAAGCAAATGCGATTACAGTGATACTAGGTGGTAGTCGCCCTGAAAGCAAATGCGATTACAGTGATACTAGGTGGTAGTCGCCCTGAAAGCAAATGCCATTACAGTGATACTAGGTGGTAGTCGCCTTGAAAGCAAATGCGATTACAGTGATACTAGGTGGTAGTCGCCCTGAAAGCAAATGCGATTACAGTGATACTAGGTGGTAGTCGCCCTGAAAGCAAATGCGATTACAGTGATACTAGGTGGTAGTCGCCCTGAAAGCAAATGCCATTACAGTGATACTAGGTGGTAGTCGCCTTGAAAGCAAATGCGATTACAGTGATATTAGGTGGTAGTCGCCCTGAAAGCAAATGCGATTACAGTGATACTAGGTGGTAGTCGCCCTGAAAGCAAATGCCATTACAGTGATACTAGGTGGTAGTCGCACTGAAAGCAAATGCGATTACAGTGATACTAGGTGGTAGTCGCCCTGAAAGCAAATGCGATTACAGTGATACTAGGTGGTAGTCGCCCTGAAAGCAAATGCGATTACAGTGATATTAGGTGGAAGTCGCCCTGAAAGCAAATGCGATTACAGTGATATTAGGTGGAAGTCGCCCTGAAAGCAAATGCAATTACAGTGATACTAGGTGGTAGTCGCCCTGAAAGCAAATGCAATTACAGTGATACTAGGTGGTAGTCGCCCTGAAAGCAAATGCCATTACAGTGATATTAGGTGGAAGTCGCCCTGAAAGCAAATGCGATTACAGTGATACTAGGTGGTAGTCGCCCTGAAAGCAAATGCCATTACAGTGATATTAGGTGGAAGTCGCCCTGAAAGCAAATGCGATTACAGTGATATTAGGTGGTAGTCGCCCTGAAAGCAAATGCCATTACAGTGATACTAGGTGGTAGTCGCCCTGAAAGCAAATGCAATTACAGTGATACTAGGTGGTAGTCGCCCTGAAAGCAAATGCGATTACAGTGATACTAGGTGGTAGTCGCCCTAAAAGCAAATGCCATTACAGTGATATTAGGTGGTAGTCGCCCTGAAAGCAAATGCGATTACAGTGATACTAGGTGGTAGTCGCCCTAAAAGCAAATGCCATTACAGTGATACTAGGTGGTAGTCGCCCTGAAAGCAAATGCGATTACAGTGATACTAGGTGGTAGTCGCCCTGAAAGCAAATGCCATTACAGTGATACTAGGTGGTAGTCGCCCTGAAAGCAAATGCCATTACAGTGATACTAGGTGGTAGTCGCCCTGAAAGCAAATGCAATTACAGTGATACTAGGTGGTAGTCGCCCTGAAAGCAAATGCCATTACAGTGATACTAGGTGGTAGTCGCCCTGAAAGCAAATGCGATTACAGTGATACTAGGTGGTAGTCGCCCTGAAAGCAAATGCGATTACAGTGATACTAGGTGGTAGTCGCCCTGAAAGCAAATGCCATTACAGTGATACTAGGTGGTAGTCGCCCTGAAAGCAAATGCCATTACAGTGATACTAGGTGGTAGTCGCCCTGAAAGCAAATGCCATTACAGTGATATTAGGTGGTAGTTGCCCTGAAAGCAAATGCGATTACAGTGATATTAGGTGGTAGTCGCCCTAAAAGCAAATGCGATTACAGTGATACTAGGTGGTAGTCGCCCTGAAAGCAAATGCGATTACAGTGATACTAGGTGGTAGTCGCCCTGAAAGCAAATGCGATTACAGTGATACTAGGTGGTAGTCGCCCTGAAAGCAAATGCAATTACAGTGATACTAGGTGGTAGTCGCCCTAAAAGCAAATGCGATTACAGTGATACTAGGTGGTAGTCGCCCTGAAAGCAAATGCGATTACAGTGATACTAGGTGGTAGTCGCCCTGAAAGCAAATGCAATTACAGTGATACTAGGTGGTAGTCGCCCTGAAAGCAAATGCGATTACAGTGATACTAGGTGGTAGTCGCCCTGAAAGCAAATGCGATTACAGTGATACTAGGTGGTAGTCGCCTTGAAAGCAAATGCGATTACAGTGATACTAGGTGGTAGTCGCCCTGAAAGCAAATGCGATTACAGTGATACTAGGTGGTAGTCGCCTTGAAAGCAAATGCAATTACAGTGATACTAGGTGGTAGTCGCCCTAAAAGCAAATGCGATTACAGTGATACTAGGTGGTAGTCGCCCTGAAAGCAAATGCGATTACAGTGTTACTAGGTGGTAGTCGCCTTGAAAGCAAATGCGATTACAGTGATACTAGGTGGTAGTCGCCCTAAAAGCAAATGCCATTACAGTGATACTAGGTGGTAGTCGCCCTAAAAGCAAATGCCATTACAGTGATATTAGGTGGTAGTTGCCCTGAAAGCAAATGCGATTACAGTGATACTAGGTGGTAGTCGCCCTGAAAGCAAATGCCATTACAGTGATACTATGTGGTAGTCGCCCTGAAAGCAAATGCAATTACAGTGATACTAGGTGGTAGTTGCCCTGAAAGCAAATGCAATTACAGTGATACTAGGTGGTAGTCGCCCTGAAAGCAAATGCAATTACAGTGATACTAGGTGGTAGTCGCCCTGAAAGCAAATGCAATTACAGTGATACTAGGTGGTAGTTGCCCTGAAAGCAAATGCAATTACAGTGATATTAGGTGGTAGTCGCCCTGAAAGCAAATGCGATTACAGTGATACTAGGTGGTAGTCGCCCTGAAAGCAAATGCGATTACAGTGATACTAGGTGGTAGTCGCCCTGAAAGCAAATGCCATTACAGTGATACTAGGTGGTAGTCGCCCTGAAAGCAAATGCAATTACAGTGATACTAGGTGGTAGTCGCCCTGAAAGCAAATGCCATTACAGTGATATTAGGTGGTAGTCGCCCTGAAAGCAAATGCAATTACAGTGATACTAGGTGGTAGTCGCCCTGAAAGCAAATGCAATTACAGTGATACTAGGTGGTAGTCGCCCTGAAAGCAAATGCAATTACAGTGATACTAGGTGGTAGTCGCCCTGAAAGCAAATGCGATTACAGTGATACTAGGTGGTAGTCGCCCTGAAAGCAAATGCGATTACAGTGATATTAGGTGGTAGTCGCCCTGAAAGCAAATGCCATTACAGTGATACTAGGTGGTAGTCGCCCTGAAAGCAAATGCGATTACAGTGATACTAGGTGGTAGTCGCCCTGAAAGCAAATGCGATTACAGTGATACTAGGTGGTAGTCGCCCTGAAAGCAAATGCGATTACAGTGATACTAGGTGGTAGTCGCCCTGAAAGCAAATGCCATTACAGTGATATTAGGTGGTAGTCGCCCTGAAAGCAAATGCCATCACAGTGATACTAGGTGGTAGTCGCCCTGAAAGCAAATGCCATTACAGTGATACTAGGTGGTAGTCGCACTGAAAGCAAATGCCATTACAGTGATACCGTCGTAGCGGTTTAACTTCATACTACAACTTGGCGCCGGACATCATCTTTTGATATTAATGTCCAAATTATCTTTCTTTCAGTTATACGCGTCGGCTCTGTTTAGTGGGCAAATATTATGTTGTAAGAAATTGAAACAAAACAAATATTAGTAATTAAATTCGAATATGATGAACATTGAACAAATCATTGTTCAAGTTTAAACAAAGTAAGATTACAGACCGGCCACTTGCAGATCATTTTCTCATTATACTTTTTAAAAGTTGAAACTGCAATGTTCTTGCCAAGTCTGTGGCTGGAAAAATCAACTTACAAAATCGGTATCAGGCTTCTCTAAGTCTAATACGTCTTGATTAAATGCAGTATGTAGATACAAAAGAACACAGCATGAAAATAGTCAACAGAGCATATTTTCATGAATGATATTGCTATTCCCAAAATGCTATCGTCAAATATAGTGTCAAATATGAAATAGCGCTATATGGCGCTCGATAGCGCTAGATATCGAATTTCAACTATCATTATCAGTAAAGAACCAGCAAATTTTCATGAATGATATTGCGATTCCAAAAATGCTGGATAACGAAAAAAAAAGCTTTGTCTCTTTGATGATATATAAGGCTACAATTCGCTATCCCCGAAACTTTCTGATTGGTGGAGTGATGAGTATTCGGCTTGGTGACGAAGTAAAGGGTTGTGCTATTTGTTTTTGCTCATATTGAGCCGCTGAACTAGGTCTGGGGGAACCATGTTCCACTTGGAAAGAAGTCCTCCCCGTTTGGCTGGCTTTTTGCCCACATCTGAAACGAACGGGTTACACTTTCAGATCACCCGTAGCAGTAGCAACTTTACTTAGCTTATTCAGTTTTGAACTGCGTGGAACTTTATCAGCGAGTGTTGCCTAAAAGTGGAACTTTATCAGCGAGTGTTGCCTAAAAGGCCTCCGATAGCTTACGTGAAGTTTACATTTCTATGAACGCTTAAAAACATATCACATATAGCTACGAAATATATTTTATCAAGATATGTGTTAGTGCTCATGTCTTATCAGTTTAGGGTGCCTTCCGAGTTTGCATTTTATTTTTACTGAGTACTGACCATGCATGAATCTCGATCAGATAAAATTGTATAAGTTTAGTAACTGGTCGTTATCGCTGAGCAAATGTAGCTAACATAGCAGAAAAAAATTATTCTTTGAAAAAGAAACAGCCCGTTAGTTTTTATCACTTACCAGTATTTTCAGATTTAGACCAGAATTTCGGGTGTTCTGATAGGAAAGAGCAATGTTAATAACGTAATACAAATAATCACCTTAGTATTGCTGTACAACTACTACAATCATAGCAGGTAGTATTGTTGTACAACTACTACAATCATAGCAATTATTATCAATATTATCAATATGATAATATCTCTCCTACAAATAATCTCTCCTAGACACTGGACCTTCTTCAGCTTCAACAGCTCTAGCGTTGATACACAAGAGATCACTGACATTGGCAGTACTGTGTAATTAACGCCATAACAGTAGTTTCAGTACTGGTTTCATTTACAATGGTTGCAGTACATTGGTTACGGTACATTGGTTGCGGTACATTTACAGTCGTTTTCATTCATTCCAAATTGCTACCAATCTGGTACATCAATTTATGTTGGCCGAGAAAAACACAAACTATGCGATTCCGTAATATTTCTGATTTTCGTTGTAAAATTCCATGTACACTTTGTACGGCATGCACCCCTTGAGATGATGAGATGATGGTTCAGGCAGCGTTTTACAAATTACAACCAGAGATGCAGAAAATAAACGTCAAAGTATTCCGTAACCATGGTATTGGTAACTATGTACCATGGTAACTACCGCAACTGAATAGTGCCTCTGATGCTATAATCAGATGGCGACGGTGAAGCAACTTGCATCATTGACACGATTTAATTCTTCGATGGTGTTAAGATGGCAGCACCCTTGGAGGGCACAGATCTAATAACCAACGGATTGTTTCAACTAAAGAAGTGATGATGCCACTGATAATTTTTATGCCTTTTTTTCATTTTGTTTTCGCTGATCACTTTTTAGTTGCCCTTTCAGTGTTCTCACTGCAAGTGCATTTTAAAACACAATGTTTTTTTGAATACCCACGATTTGCACAATCGTGGGTATTACTATTAAAGTATTAGCTGATAGCATCTGCATAGCATTTTTAGCTTTTGAAACAGAAAATCAATTGGTAAGTTAACTTTATTAGCATTTGTTGACACGAAAGAATGACGGCCGTGGCAATGAGGTGCTTAGTTAAAAATTAAAAAGGCGAGCGCAATTTTAAAATTCCTGTTCGAATTTTATGAGCACCAACTTATCAAAAACGATTTATAAGTATAGCATTACCTGAATATTTCAAGCTTTGTTCATGCTAATTGTTGTCAATTAATTGTTACGTAAAGAACTTGGCGAACAAACTACAAAGGCTGGCGCCACCTCATAATTAGTACTATAATTAGCAAGAGCATTATCTAGCAGACTTTAATAATAGCGGACTTTTCAATGAAATACAATTCCTTGCGTGGTCAGCTAGCTCGCAGATCAGGTCAGGTCCATCACACTTCCAATTTATACAATACAAATTTATTGATAATTGGGATGAACCAGGAACCTGCATTGATTTCAGTTGAAATAGGTACCCGAATAGGATAAAGTCAGGTGTTGCTAACTATATCATCTCCATCAACTATTATTACAATAAGTAGGTCAGTATGGTATAAAACAAGTAAGCGCCCATCTTTGCAAAGGATAAGCAGTCATGCAACATATAAACATAAAATACAGTCTTTTGGTGTAGCTGATAGCTACTAGCTATACTTTTAGCTATATAAGCTAACTATAGCTACTAGCTATACTTTTAGCTAGATAAGCTAACTATAGCTACTAGCTATACTTTTAGCTAGATAAGCTAACTATAGCTACTAGCTATAGCTAACTGACGGAAACATCTGTAGATCTCATTCAACCTCATTTCCGCGATATTATACCAAAGCGTGCTGTATATGAGTCCATCAATAATACAGTTGATAGCAGTGATGTTAACACCAGGTCAATAATATTAACTAGCTCGAGTCTGTCTCTAAATAACCGAACATTGAATTGGTAGCTGCAATTAATTATCTGCTAATTAATTAGCTGCAATTAGTAGCTGAGCTGCTGACAGCGCGGGTCTCATGAGAAGCAAATAGATTCCTCACTTTTAGCGGTCTTGCTGGCGTAGCTGAGGGCTAGTTTGTGATTGGTTAGGTCTTTGTAGTCGAAGAAGGCCTCGAAGTCAGGGTCCAGCTCTGCTAGGGATAATATCTCTGCGAACTCCTCCTCTGTTAAAGGGTCGTCTCCTATTCTTGTTAATGCCCTGAGGGTATTAGTATTACAATCATTTCTTGACAGTTTATCATTTAGAAATGACAACTGCAAAGACATTTGTATGAAAACTACGATCGGCAGTAAAATTGTTGATAAAAATGTAAGCGGCTAAAAGTAAAGGCACAACGGTCGTGTCTGCCAGGGTCTTCGTAAACCAAATCTTGACCTATAAGGTTAGCTTTCGTTTAGGGCATAATATTTACTGGATACCGTTATACCAACTGGTATGCAATTCTTGACTCAAAAAAGCTATTCAAGTCAAGTGAAATGTATACCTGTGAAGGTCTTTAGTCTGCAATTTCCCATCATCGTCCCTATCAAATATCTCAAACGCATTAGTGATATCCGCCAACGTCTCCTCCTCGTTCCTTCCCACCACTAACTTAAACACCTCCTGGAACTTCATGTTCTGGTTGTTGGTTGTCATGACAGCGGCCTGTGAGAGGATATTCTGAGTTTCCCGATCTTCTGAGGAGTATCCTAGTTTGGATAAGATATCTGTGATGTCATCCTGGTTAACTCCCTCCTTCTCCGGGTCCCCCACTGCATCGTACGCTCTCTGTACTGCTGTCCGGAATGTGTTCATGAACCCGGACCCGCTTTTGTCGGTAGATTCATCGTCATAATCGTCCCTGTACTCGTCTGTGTCTATCGAACCTCGACTGGAACATTTAGAAATCAACAACAAAAATCCATCCAGCAAATGACTGACCTAAGAGTTAGATATATAATTTAGGGTCTGAAGACATTCCCGTCTATATAACTTCCGCCCCTGGGTTTGAGACTTGGAATAGCTCAAAGTACCCATCAGAAACAAATTTGGCTTGGGTAGAAATTTTGGCTATGGTGCAGTTTTGCGCACTTTACCACACCCTCTTTTAGCGCTTTCGCGACTTTAAAATCAAAATAACCCCGCTTCTAATTATAAGTAGAAGCTCAACTTGCCATTAAAATTTTTTAGAATCATCACAATTAGGGGGGTACAGCATAATTTTAAAGTCACCAGACATCAGGTTGTTCAGTTATGTGACCACACCTTTTTTTGCTCTCGCAAGTCGTAATTTTTCACACTAAATACGAGATATCTCGGCTTCTGATTGAGCTAGGTGCTCATCTTGGGCATTAAAATGTCCAAAATCATCATATTAAGTAGGGTATAGCACAATTTCAAAATCCTCAGACGTCAGGTTGTTGAGTTTTTAGGCCAAAAGTCCTTTCAATAAATCAACAACCCGATTGTCTGAGGACTTCGAAATTATACTCTACCCTACACAATGTGGGTCCATTTAATAACCGTTTAAATAAAAGATAAAGTATTACCTGTGACTCCTGTGTCTGGCATCAGCGGGGATGATCTCCTCCAACGTAAGGTTCTCCCCTCGCCCCGACTTTGACTTGAGATTATCAACAGCATCTTGCAGAGCTGCTCTCCTGGCCTGCAGAGGCGTTCTCCTTATACTTTTATACGCAAACATAAAGCAAACCAACAAATAGAGGACAAAATAGAGGGTGGATAGCCAAAATCGTGGATATTAACTAGTGAGTAGCCGGAATTAAATACTAAAATACAAACTGTAATTGACGTATAGGATGGGAGATAGAGGTAATGTTCCGGGCAGTTACCAGCCACCAGTAAAACAAAGTGTATTATACACTCTGACATCATGAAAATTGGTATGACGTCATTACACATGGTGTGACGTCATTACACGTGATGTGACGTCATGACACGTGGTGTGACGTCATTACACATGGTGTGACGTCATTACACGTGGTGTGACGTCATGTTCCAGCCAGCGGTAAAACAGATTGTATTATGCACGAGCAGCATTGTTAGTTCATGTGCGTTTAATGCTCTTTTATAAAACTTGTCTCTTTTCAATGACTATTTTTCGGTCCGTCTGCGAACAACAATTGGAACATACGGTCCGTATTTACTGAGTAGCCACCAGATTATACCAACTGCACTGAAGTTACGTTGTTAACCTACTCTTAAAACAATAGCCAGCCAGTTAATGCATCTGTGCTGGTTCTCGGGTAGTGTGAGAGTTAGTGCTCGTAAATAAACGTTCCCTTAATTTAGTTGTACTTCCAGCCGACTATCCCGCCCTTCAACTGGCTGGGGTAATAAAGTCTCACAATGTTTACTGTCTATACGTTCGGCTCGAACTTGACTGGGTATATGACATCGTGTATTAAATTGTAGGCACAAACGGGCACACAATAATGATTTCTCTTCTGCGTTCTGTCTTGTATTCATAAATAAATGCTTCAAGTGTTTTCAGGCCATAACAAGCATATTTATAATTTCAATTCTTCACCAGATCATGCATTGCGTTTGGTGCTACAGATAGTTGTCTTTGTTGTCCCTCAAGGTTCACGGAGTAAGATAAGAGGTAATACGTGCAGCAAAGAGTTTTAGGGCAGGTTATTTAACGAGGGCAGGTTATTTAACGAGGAATCTGTTTGGTCGGTGATTTGACTCATGAATGTGTTTTTAAGAGTGTTACTAAGAGTGTTACTAAGAGTGTTACTAAGAGTGTTACTAAGAGTGTTACTAAGAGTATGTCATAATCTCTCAGCTCTTACCTGTCTCCTCAGCTCCTTGCTTCTAGCCATGGCTCCGTTTATAACTCCTCTTACAGCGGGCTGGGTCACTGTCTGATCCACCACTGAAACTGATTGCCTCCTGCTACCTTGCACATTTCCAGTGCCGGTCACCAGGAGTGTTCGGTCCGCGTTCCTCACCCCACCTGATGTAGTGGTAGGTGATGTACCACCTGATGTACCCAGCTTTAAAGGCATGACCTCAACTATTAGCAACAATTAGTAAACAAGTTAAGAGAGAATGGGGGAGCAGTCTCCTTGTTGGTTGTCAAGGAGACACCCCCTCCTCAGCTAGTGTCACTTTTACTGCTGCCACAACTTGTTTAACACTTTCTAGTAGGCTATTATGTTATGTATATTGGTACGGCTGACGATTCTACAAATTCATGTCATTCACTTGCTGTCATTCTACTGTCATTCTGCTCTATATCAGTATTACTTACCTGCTGTCATTCACTAACACTACTAACACTTATTGGTAATACTTACTAACACTTATTAACACTTACTAACACTTACTAACACTTACTAAAACTTAATAACACTTACTAACACTTACTAACACTTACTAACACTTACTAACACTTGTAGGTAACACTTACTAACACTTACTAACACTTACTAACACTTGTAGGTAACACTTACCTATAAACTTGCTTTTTCTATTGTCTATAGAATTCATGCTGGAACTGTTGGGCGGACTACATTTCTTTTGATTCCCTATTCCTAATGAAGAAAAAGAAGGTTAGATTAGAAACGTATGTAAAATTATTGTTTATTTGCATTTCAGCGCTATAACAATAATTGTAATCATTGCGATGGAAAATACACCAGTACTACTGGTCCAGTAGTTCTTAAACCTCTAAACAGACTAGCTGGAAATACACCAGTACTACTGGTCCAGTAGTTCTTAAACCTCTAAACGGACTAGCTGGAAATACACCACTACTGCTGGTCCAGTAGTTCTTAAACCTATAAACAGACTAGCTGCAAATACACCAGTACTACTGGTCCAGCAGTTCTTAAACCTCTAAACGGACTAGCTGGAAATACACCAGTACTACTGGTTCAGTAGTTCTTAAACCTCTAAACGGACTAGCTGAAAATACACCAGTACTACTGGTCCAGTAGTTCTTAAACCTCTAAACGGACTAGCTGGAAATACACCAGTACTACTGGTCCAGTAGTTCTTAAACCTCTAAACGGACTAGCTGGAAATACACCACTACTGCTGGTCCAGCAGTTCTTAAACCTCTCAACAGACTAGCTGCAAATACACCAGTACTACTGGTCCATCAGTTCTTAAACCTCTAAACGGACTAGCTGAAAATACACCAGTACTACTGGTCCATCAGTTCTTAAACCTCGAAACGGACTAGCTGGAAATACACCAGTACTACTGGTCCAGCAGTTCTTAAACCTCTAAACGGACTAGCTGCAAATACACCAGTACTACTGGTCCAGCAGTTCTTAAACCTCTAAACGGACTAGCTGGAAATACACCAGTACTACTGGTCCAGTAGTTCTTAAACCTCTAAACGGACTAGCTGGAAATACACCAGTACTACTGGTCCAGCAGTTCTTAAACCTCTAAACGGACTAGCTGCAAATACACCAGTACTACTGGTCCAGCAGTTCTTAAACCTCTAAACGGACTAGCTGGAAATACACCAGTACTACTGGTCCAGCAGTTCTTAAACCTCTAAACGGACTAGCTGCAAATACACCAGTACTACTGGTCCAGCAGTTTCTTAAACCTCTAAACGGACTAGCTGGAAATACACCAGTACTACTGGTCCAGCAGTTCTTAAACCTCTAAACGGACTAGCTGGAAATACACCAGTACTACTGGTCCAGCAGTTCTTAAACCTCTAAACGGACTAGCTGGAAATACACCAGTACTACTGGTCCAGCAGTTCTTAAACCTCTAAACGGACTAGCTGGAAATACACCAGTACTACTGGTCCAGTAGTTCTTAAACCTCTAAACGGACTAGCTGGAAATACACCAGTACTACTGGTCCAGTAGTTCTTAAACCTCTAAACGGACTAGCTGGACCAGAACAACATAGTATGCCACAATCATCAAAAACATTAGCACTACATTCAATAACAACAGTCAAAAAAACCTGCAGTGCACCTTATCACGGGACACTGTGGTCTGAACCTCCATACCATTTGCAGATCAAGTATCAGTGCGTGTCCTATGTGCAGTGCGTGTCCTATGTGCAGCAAGTACCAGTACGTGTCCTATGTGCAGCGAATGTCTCGCACTTTCTCGGACAGAAGAAGACTTTATTCAGAAGTAATAACAAAGCCGCGCACACTTGCACACTGCAGCGAAACGTAGCAACAATATAATTATAGCCCTGTACTCTGTAGTCTATACATGGCACAAGGACAGGATAATACTAAGAACCACCCTTACATCAGACAGTGCCAGGTAGCATATCATCTGTAAACTGTGGGATCGTCTGGTATCATAACTTATAATCATCAGGATAATATCTTCAAAAGCAGCGGCTAAGGAAGCATGGCTCTGAGAGGCGAGGTAGTCAGATAGCTTCCTGCTACCTGACTACTAGTCAAGTAGCAGGGAGCCTGGCTCCAAGTTGGCTCCAAGTTGGCTTAAGGTTGCACTAGGCTTGCTGTGGACGCCATGAACAAACCCACAGTACTGATGACGAATCAACACAAAATACTACACAAAGGTATATGTCAGCCTGACTAGAGTACTTCGGTAATCAGTATAGTAAAAGTAAAAAACACTCTCACCCGCCAAAGGTATTCAAATAGCGGACAAATAAACACATACGGATATATCTGAAGAATAAGCAGATTCAAAATACTCGACACCACAATTTTAAATGTTTATGTTTGATTTTAAGCCGACGGGTTATACAGCAAAATAATTGTTTTCAATCGAACAAAACAACCAAAGATTGCAGTCACAGAGGTTTCAAAGTTAAAGTATTAGAGGAGGGCTTGTTATGGAAGATATAGGAAAGTAAAAAGTGGGTGGAGAAAAGGAGAGTAGGAAAGAGTACCACTCGAAGAGAAAATGCTGCTCTCCACTCCCTACTACTCTACTACTACTCCTAGCCACTAGGTACCACTCTCTACTACTCTACTACTACTGCTAGCCACTAGGTACCACTCTCTACTACTCTACTACTACTCCTAGGCACTAGGTAGCACTCTCCAGAGAGTGCTACCTAGTGGCTAGTGCTAACCTGGACACGACGCACAATGCCTAGTTATATCAACAAGAGAATAAGCTTTTTTGCTGCTTTCTCACCCTGCAGCTGGTAACCAGGTAACCAGGTAACCAGGATACCCTGCAGCTTCCCTACCGCTAGAGTGCAGAGCTGTGACGTAGTAATCGTGACAACAGCTTTATGTTGAACTCTACTCCGCAAAAGTTTCTGATTTCCCACAACTACAACGTACGTTACCAATTACCAACTAGAATGTTGGTGAGGAACAATGAAGGAAGAGCTCAGCCGACGAGAGGACTTATTGAGGACTTATTGCTGAGGGAGGAAACATTGCAGTGGTTCCACACACAATTAGAGGGGGAAATACAGAATAAGGAAAAAGTTAGTGAGAGTTTGAGGGATTACTGTCGGCGCGGAGAGTATTATTATAAACCCCTACTGAAGACGGTACACATGTATTTATATGTTTCAAGAAACCCTCCTGGCCTCCTGCCTCATCGAGCAGTCACTGATTTCGTCAGTCATTTACTCTGCCAATTATTTATAAATCTATATGTAATCTGGGGAGAAGAACGTCATTGGCTCATGAATGACGACTGTGTCTGCAACTATTAACTACAAAATGGCTACTAGCTGGAGCCCTGGTATAAACGAGCTAAAACACTGGATTTACTGCATCTCTGCAAGGGGCACAAGGCAAATGTGGTGAGCTATTACGTCCCTAGACCCAAGCAGGGACATTGGGACAATAGCTCAGGGACAATGACTATGTAGTTAGTACCCTCTCTTCTACAAAAAGAGAAATTACCCGGGAGCACAAGCTGCAGATGTACTAAGAGAGTTTTGACACTTAGTTAAGGAGCTGGTTAACATGCGATGCTGATTAGATAACAAAGCAGGGGCTGGAGGAGTGCGAGATACGGGGCAGATAACAAAAAAGGAGCTGGTGGAGCAGTGCGAGATACGGGGCAGATAACAAAGAAGGGGCTGGTGGAGTGAGAGATACGGGGCAGATAACAAAGCAGGGACTGGAGGAGTGCGAGATACGGGGCAGATAACAAAGCAGGGACTGGAGGAGTGCGAGATACGGGGTAGATAACAAAAAAGGGACTGGAGGAGTGCGAGATAAGGGGCAGATAACAAAGCAGGGACTGGAGGAGTGCGAGATACGGGGCAGATAACAAAGCAGGGGTCGGTGGAGGAGTGCGAGATACGGGGCAGATAACAAAGAAGGGGATGGTGGAGTGAGAGGCAGTATGGCGAATATTAGGGTGGTTCACCCTAGCGAACATGGTGCACAAAATACATCAGGTTACTATTGTACCTTCCAATTTGAATAGATAGACACAACCTGTACACGGACGTTTAGGAATTGATTTGATTTGCTAGTCCCGGGTGAACTGCCGGCGTGTGCGAGTTGTTTTTTAGGGTGGCTACATTTATACAATCAATCTCCAGCCCAAGTTGAAGCTGCCACGTGAACTTATTTCATATTTTGTTGGTTTAACAGCGGAACTTGCTGGTGAATAGGAAGACTGGGGGGACTCCTATCATGATGTAGCAAACTGCAACAAGTCATGGCAAAATCCTGCAGTTTGAATAAAGCCTCCATATTTGGTTGAATGTGAACATGGGCAATAGAAAACAAAGTATGTTAGCACTGCACACGTGAAAAACTGCACACGTACCTTGTTTTCACGACAAATATCTTCCTCCGATTACAACTACCTCCACACTGAGCAGGTAGTTGTAATCGACGGAGAACTTTGTCGTGATTCAATGTCTAGTTGGCTAGAAAAACGGGCAAAACCGCAAAGCGGTTACCAAATTTGTTCCAAAAAGACAAGCCAGGAGCAAGTAAAAAGCTGCGACGGTTTGGTGGATGGAAAAGGTGGACATGCTGTGACGTCAGAGGAGAAGCTCTACAAATACACAAGTACAATAAAATCATGGTGGGGCTATGCTCAGCTGGAAAATACCATCTGGATGAGCTAAAAATACCTACGAGTGGGAGTCAGACTGTAATGACTGGCAGGTAGCACCCTATACATTGGTCTGGAGAAGTGAAAATAAAAGCTAGTCTAGACGAGTTTCCCACTCCCTGACGCAGCTACTATTCCAAAGTAAGCAGCATTTGTTCCTTATGTTGGATGAAGCCAGTAGTGACCACAGAGCCGGTGATGGCTCCTTCACTATACATGTAGTTAATTGTATAACGGGGCTAAAACATGGACTAATTATCATGTAAATCCTAACTCGTGCTGAACTGTGGGCACGTTCTGGTGGGGAAGTCTGTAGTACTCTGCAGTGCAGACTTCTCCGCCAGATCAGGGTACAGACCTTGTAGTTTGTATCTCAGATCTAGGTGCAGACCTTGTAGTTTGTATCTCAGATCAGGGTACAGACCTTGTAGTTTGTATCTCAGATCAGGGTGCAGACCTTGTAGTTTGTATCTCAGATCAGGGTGCAGACCTTGTAGTTTGTATCTCAGATCAGGGTGCAGAC